TGTGCCCTGCGATTGGCTGGCAGCCAGTTCAGGGTGAACCCCGCCTACTGCCCGCAGACAGCTGTGTTAGGCTCCAGCACGTCTGTGACCATTGTGAGGATATGTGGATTAGAAAATGGATCGATGTATATAGGGCGCCACACCACCGCTCAGCTTAGTCACCTTGAATAAGATTTTAAATAAACATTGCATCCATCCATCTATTCTCAGCACCGCTGTTCTTCTCTGGCTGTGGATGGGCTACAGCCCGACTCAGTCGACTTTGGGTGAGGGGAGGCCTATACCCTGACGTGGTTGCTAGCCATTTACAGGGTAAACCATTAATACTTACCTTATATGGACCAACAGAAATGGTTTAAATTGGACACAGTCTGACCTCAGCTACCTAATTAATAACCAAGATGTTCTTATGTGAATACTCTATAACTGGATCCAACGTTTCCATCTTGTGGCTTGTGCATAGTTGTGCAATGACACGCCTCTGCCATTTTTACGATCGGAGTTAAGTATTTGCTGGCTTGAAACAAGTAAATCCCATTTGCTTTGTACTCATTTTTAGCTGGTAAAAGTACAAACCCAGAGCTGCTGTTTAGAAGGAGCTTATTTGAGCGGGGCAGAAAGTGTACATATGGCTTTATTTTTTCTTTTTTTTTTCAATGAGGTCATCATCACATCCCCCCACCCCCACATACCCCCCCCCACCCAACACACACACACACACACACACACACGTTTTCTTTTATTACTTGACGAGAATTGCAACCTGACCTTACCAGAGAAATTGGCAGGAACACAAAGTGCTGTGCATATGTTGATGTCCACCAGACAGTACGGAACAGGGATGGCAATTAGCCGCTTTGCTTTTCCAAGCAAGCTTTTTTTCGGAATTCGCTGGCGTTATTACAAATGTGTCACAACAGCTGAGAGAGGAGGGATGGCAATTAGCCGCTTTGCTTTTCCAGGCAAGCTTTTTTTTCGGAATTCGCCGGCGTTATTACAAATGTGTCACAACAGCTGAGAGAGCAAGTGGGAAGACAGAAAGATGAGAATTCCAATAAAGGCCCACCACACATTAAGGTTTTCTCTTAAAACACAAAACGTGATGCGAATTTTCCAATAGTTGTCACTGGTGACTGAAGAAAAAAAAAAATAACGGCAGTAAGACCCACAAACAAACTGGAGCCTTTCCCATCGTTGATGTTGGGCAAGAGGCCAGCTAAATCCCGAACTGGTCACCAGCCAATTACACAGCGCATAGAGACAAACAGCTATTCATACTCACATTCACATCGATGGGTAATACAGAGTCCTTCATTAACCTAACATGGTTTTTTTTAGGAATGTTGGAGGAAGACAGTGCAAATGCTGTACAGCAGGGGTGTCAAACTCATTTTTGTCGTGGGCCACTTTGGGGTTTCGTCTTCCCTCGGTGGGCTGTTACAACAGTGAAACTAAATAAATGTTTATTATATATTATTACTTGTACACAACAAATTGATGGATTACCAGTTTTGAAATTAGTCAAATCAAATACAGTATATTTTGTTCAATTATTGTTTGAGTGAGTGTTAGCAGGGTAACAAAATTATTGTACAAGATCAAGGTTATTTATTACACATGGCAATTTAACATTTCGGTACAGATTTTTCGCAAGCATCATGGAAGTTGACACACATGATTTGCTTTCGTGGGCCACATAAAATGATGTTGCGGGCCGGATTTGGCCCCCGGGCCTTGACTTTGAAACCAGTGCTGTACAGGAAGCCTGACCCACTACCGGTACATGTGGATATACTTCCATGTTCGGAATTAGACAAATATACATCAACGTGAATCGAGATATTGAAACAGGACACAGTGTGGTTTTTTTTGTTTTGTTTTGTTTTTTTTAACATCAACCTATCTAACTGACTGGGTATTAACAGTGAACATAATTTGTTTTCTCATCGTCAAGTCCTGCCACTGTTGTGTGAGTACTGATGAGGATTAGTTTCGGCAGCCATACCAGCGAACGGAGGCAAAGCAGAGAAAAGTGAGAGGGAGACTTGAAGCTAATTTAAAGGTTATCCCATCGTTCTCCAACTAGCAACCAAAGACGCTAGGATTTAAAATAGGACCGCTGAGCAGCACATGTGACTGTTTCCCCTGATTTGGGCTGAGACGTTTCCCAACTGAAACAATACCTTTGGGATAAACTACAACAGAGATTCTGAGCCATTATTGCCTCTCACAGATCAATCATCAGCGCCCTCTCTTACCAGACAAACTTTCTTCTATGAATGTATAATAATTCCCTCAAACGGATTCCAGAAGTTTTGATAACATTGGAAGCTGTTATTGATGGAAAGGGGAGCCCAACTACATATTGTCTTCTATTTTCATTTCTGTAGGTGTGATTGGATGTCACACTAGAATTTGAAACGATATTGCTTACATTAAACTTCCGATTGCACGCCAGGTCCTTGAAAGAGAACAAGTTGTGCTGAACCATGGAATAGATCTGTCATGATCTTGTTCTTGTGTGTCTCCACCGGGTGGCAGAGGAGGGCTTCCCCTCCAGCGTGCACACCTGCTGCCAATGTGTTCATCAAGTTAGCCATGTACTTCAGGACTTCCTAAACGCCCAGTCTCCGTCAGATTATTTACCTTGTTTGCTGCTCATGCTCAAGTGTTGTATTCTCTACATCTCAATCTCATAATTGTCGTTTTTGCTTTCTGGTCTCTCGTTTGTAAGTATTTGTATTATTTTCTCTTTTGATCTTGGTCTTGTTTTTCTATGGTGGAATTAGACTCTAGTCATTTTGTTTCATTTCTCAGATTTACTATTGCCTTGTCTTTAGAAGCGCTTTTGGTTCAGGTATTGTTTTGCCCAGTTCTTTTATACCCACGATTTCTGTTTATACTTTGTCGCTTTTGTTAAATAAATATGTTTTGTATAAATTTAGTTTGTGTCTATGTTTGTGGGATCCGATCGCCATTCAATTCGTCCCCGAACTGTGTCAAGATCAACCGAGCCCTGCATTAAATATTGAAAATCTGCTAATACTTGATAAACAACAACCTATAGATGCCACAAAATGGTGAGAAAATGCTTGAAACAGTAAATATTGAAAATTTGCTAATACTTGATAAACAACAACCTATAGATGCCACAAAATGGTGAGAAAATGCTTGAAACAGAGAGAATCATCAAAGAAGAACACGCTCTGGTACATTTTTCCATTCTGATGGATTTATTCACTGAGGTCTGTCACAACACAGAACTGTCAGCAAGGCATCAATCACCATGCATCTGCATGTACAAAATCATGAATTTAACTGAATTCAGTAGTCAAATTATTAAAAAAAACAAAAAAAAAAAACACTTTCACATGAGGCTCATCAATGGCATCGATCATCAGCCTAAAAACACCTTGGCATGTTGTCATTCATTATAATACCAAAACAAATCTGACGGTTTTGACTCCAGTATTGACAGTAATGAAAACAGAAGCAAGAAAGAACAAAAGTCTAACTCGTAGTTTCATATTGTCCGTGATTAATGCATAGAAACAGATTTGGCAGTGAGCTGCAAACTCTTTGTTTTAGTGTTTGCTTGTATGCCTTGACAAGTTGATCAATAAGTTGTTGCATGATTTGATATTTTCTTTCCCACACAGATAAGAGCACTGCTCTGCTTTGTTTGTCTTCTATGAACACTCGAGATCCCGCCCGGGCTGCACACTTTGTCCCTCAGCCCTGCATGGAGACACTTAGTGCTGGCAACAGGCTAACACAAACATCTGCAATTGGTCAACTCTTACACTCGGTTTATTGCTGCGTTAAAGCTCCCACTAGAAGAGACAGTCAAGACATGCGTTTTCCTAATTATTGTTCCTTCAGAATGAATACAGTTCATTCTATTTCTTGTACACCCATAAATGAGGTATTAAAAGATGCTGTTGATATAAAAAAGAATTCTGTGTGGTGAAACAGTTCTCAAATGAATTAACTGTCAGATCTCCTGTCTGATTTTATTCACTAGCTTCTTGGTCTTGATATTGGTGTTTTTGTGAAAAAAAAGGTTCCTTTGGAAAGCCTCATTCTGAGTAACTCTCGCAAATGCAAATTAGAGACTTGGAACAGGTGGCGGGTCGTTTCAAATTCTTGCGGGAAATTTTCTAGTGATTACATTTCATATCACAGAGGACTATGAAAAATATCCAATTGCGCAAATGCAACATATTTTTATTATTATTGTGTAAGCTCATCATAATAATAGAGACAGTAGCTGCAAATATTACATCGATTGATAGTAGGGTTGTCACATTCAAATATTTTTATTTTTAGAATTGATTCTCTTGATAAGTGCATCGATCAGTGGAATGACATAAAAACATAATTTGCTTTAAAGTCCATTGCCAAATCTTTTTTGCCCAGTTAACCGATTATTGTTGTGTATTTGCCATTGTTGAATGATTTTTAACAAAATGAAGCAATACCACCTGAGAGGGAGTGAGCTTTTACTCATCAGCCTTTCAGAAACTGAGAGCAAAAGGCTACTAGTTGAGGTCACTTCAGGTTTGACGTGTCAATTAAAGGTTATTCAAACTACGGCTTCTGTAATATGTCAGACAATGGGGGAGAAAATGTTGAGCATTGTCCTCCAAAGTATAAACCAGATGTTTGCCTCGTTGCAAAGCCTTATTTTGATTAAACACGAACATCAAAAAAAGTGTCTGCTTTCACGAGACACAAGAGAAATCAACAAATTTTAAATGTTGAGGTTGAAATCGGAGAATTTGTACAATTTTAAGTCAGACAACGGCTGTTAATAATTGATTGTCAATATAGGTGTCGGTGAATTTGATGATCACTTGTCAATTAATCGATGCTGACACCTCGAATTAATCGATTGGGTTCAGAAAATAGATGAATGGGTCGAAGGAAGGACGGACTGACGTCTCCCTCTGGTGGTCTGATTTTCCAGATTTTTCTCCACAGCAACGTCATATTTTTTAATTTGTATTTTTTTAGCCGGTGAGGCAGTTATGATTAAGCCCCGTGAACTCTGCCGAGCAGATGTGCTATGACTGTCGAAACGAACCCCCCCCCCCCCAAAAAAAACAACAACACGGAAAGCGCATACCCGCGGAAAGGCAAACATTTTTCCTCACGGCCATTGACGTTCATGATAAATGACAGTAGAAAAACTATGACCTCCCCTGACAACAACAATTCGGATACGCTACGTGCAAGTCATGTGTGGAAGCTTTTATTCATATTATAGCCTTGTGTTTCCCACCATTTCTGCGACAGTCAGTACTCTAATGAGGGAACCTGTCTATTATATTCCTACTCTAATGAGGGAACCTGTCTATTATATTCCTTGGAGAAGACACATAAATGATCATTGAGGACAGATTATGTTGCGATAACACAGATGTTTTAGACACAAATCCAGCTAGACCTAGTGGACCCAAAGGATTATGTGTATTTATTTGATCGGAAAGAAGCGCATAAAGCAGACTTTTGGTGTGTTTATTTAACCAAGTTAAGGTGTTTTACATATTATCCCTTAGGGAACAATTGTGACGCTCCGTTGATATTACCACACACCAACAAGCATTTTGCACAGAGGAAAGGCAAAAGATCGTGACAAATAAAACGCGTTCTTACGAGCAATCAGGGCCACGGGGGAGATAAATCAAATTCTCGTCAGTAGGAATTGCATTCGACAAAATAGTTTTACAGCATTAGCATCTGCTGAGTAGTTTTTACAAAACGAACTTGAGGAAAAAATATATAAGATGGGATAAATTACAGTCTGATCGTCAACATAAAATGCCTCGAAAGGTTGTACGTTTTGAAGTTCAAGCAACACATTTAAATTATTTCAACCTATATTCATTTGTTTTCACCTTAGCCAGTCCAAGTGCGGTACCACTCGTGGTACAGCGGCTCCCTCTAGTGGTATATAAAATAATCACTTCAGTTTCGTTTAATGTGTTAAGTTAAAACATTTGAATGAAAACTTTCAAGAAGTGTTTGTTTTCAAACATTAATTTGGGCATTACATTTGTATTTAATTAATATTCAATACCATTTTTAATCTTCCTATTTTAGGTGCAGTCTTAATTTTCAAACTGCATAATAATATTATTGAATAACATTATGAAATATGCTTTTTAGAAATAAAAGCTTTTTTTTCTTTTGATGAACACTTGGGCCATCTGTACACCTCGAAAATGGTTATATGTTTTTTTTCCCAAGTAGATGGATAGGCTACTTAAAAAAATGTATTTGAATTCAGAGGATTTTATGTCCTGCAAAAACTGGACGAAATAAAATGGAGTAAATTAACAAAAACCTTTTTTCTGTGTATGTTAGTGTTAGTTTGAGTGGTGGCACTTGGAGTCAAAGATTTGCGAACCACTGCTCTAAACGAAAAGATGAACTGCTTTTCCTTTTTTTCGTCGCGGTAATCTCCCAATGAAAAATTATTTTTCAAAATGCCATTGCTTAAATGAGGGGGAAATGCTTTGCCTGCTTCTGCGTGTTCTTCTCTGTCATGACGTACAATCAGTATGGCTTTTTCTGCACAGAACAGAGACACAAACGCAGATACACATGAAAACATTGCTCTGTTATTGTCATTTGATCGCTCAGAAGTGTATTCAGAATCTAGTCTTACCCGCAATGAGTATTTTCGAGCTGCGGAGGAAAAAAAAAGGCACTCCTTTTAATATCTTTTGGGCCATTTTTACTGACTCAGGGCGATGAAGCTGACGAGACGATGGACACTCACCTTGGTGGAGTTGTCTGAGCATAAAATACAGGACAAACAGCAGTATGACCAAAACGCTGCAAACAGTGAGCACGAAGAACCAGCTGGTCGGTTCTGAAGGACAAAATAGAGACATTGTGATGTTCTTCTGCCGCCACAGTCGGGCAGTTGCATGATTCATGTGGCTCACCTTCAACAATAAGAACGAAACTTTTTTTAATGGGCATTCGCAGAGACTGATGGGAGACTGTGCATGTAAACTGATTCCCTGAGCGTGTGTGCGAAGCCTGGAGGTAGAAGAAACCCGACAGCGAGTAGGTCTTGTCCATGTTGTTTTTGTGACTGGAGAGCAGGACATTGTCGAGTGCCTTTGGGAGAGGAGCGCCGACCCTCTGGCCCGAAGATGCCAGGTCCTGCTCGTACCAGGCAATGTCCACATCCAGCGGGTAGTAGTTCTCTGCCGCGCAAACCACCTTCTTCAGCTCACCATCTTGCAATGTCAGCGTGGGACCAACACTGAGGGACACCTGGGGAGACTCTGGGAATATGCAATGGAGTGTGATCATAGCTTCGCGGGGACTTGAGTTGCAGCTTACCAAACATGTTTCTGATACTCAACATTTTATTTTAAAGCAGCAAAATACAGTAATGCAATCTGGAAAATCCCTGGATGACATAATTGAGTAGTCTATGGTGGTGAACAGCCTGTCTGTCATTTGACTGTTTGATATTGGTGGTCTAGAAGGGTTTCATATACTGTACAAATCATAACTGTAATTATCACTTGACTTTGGCCGAGCCATTTTATTTATTCATTCATTCATTCATTCATTTTCCGATCTGCTTTATCCTCACAAAGGTTGCGGTGGGTGCTGGAGCCCATCCCAGCCATCTCCGGGCAGTAGGCGGGGGACACCCTGAACCGGTTGCCAGCCAATCGCAGGGCACACACAGACGAACAACCATCCGCGCTCACACTCACACAGTGGGACAATTTGGAGTGTTCAATCAGCCTGCCATGCATGTTTTTGGAATGTGGGAAGAAACTGGAGTACCCGGAGAAAACCCACGCAGGCCCGGGGAGCACATGCAAACTCCACACAGGGAGGCCGGAGCTGGAATTGAACCCGGTACCTCTGCACTGTGAGGGTGACGCGCTAACCACTGGCCCACTGGGCTGCCCTCCATTTTATTTATTCAAGCAATAATGGATTATTGCCCAAAACAAACCCATCCATACATTTTAGATCCACTTGTGCTCACAAGGGGCATGCTGGAGCCTATCCCAGGCTGTCTTTGGGCAGTAGGCAGGGTACACACTGAACTGGTTGCCAGTCAATCACAGGGCACACATAGATGAACAACCACCTGCGCTCACACTCACGCCAAGGAACAATTTAGAATGTTCCATTAGCCTGCCATGCATGATTTTGGAATGTGGGAAGAAACCGGTGTACCCGGAGAAAATCCACGCAGGCACGGGGAGAACATGCAAAGTCGACACAGGAAGGCCAGAGCCGGAATTGAACCCTGCACCTCTACACCGTGAGACTGACGCGCTAACCAGTCACAGCCAGGCCGCTCCAAAACAAATCCAAATCATTTACAATATTCCACACCCAAACAATGTGAATGTAGCCCTTATGTTTTTGACGGTTCCTCACCTTGAATTTGTAGACTTATTTCAAGGCTGGAAGACAGGGGAAACACTGACACGGAGCACACGTATGTGCCCGCGTGTTTGACTTCAGTGAAGGGGAGAGTGTAAGAAAGGTCACCACCCGCTAGCTTCCTCGGGTCAACTCCCTTCCCCTGACTTTCCCCAGAGTGGCTGTCATGACCGAAGAGATTGCGTCGCTCGCCATGGTACAGCTGGTACCACTGCACGCTCACGTTTGGTCTCTTGTGATCGACAGCAAACTGGCAGTGGAGCTTTTTCTGGAAACCCAGGCCTGTTGTCACCGTTGGAGTTTGTGTTTTCATGATCACAACCACTGTAAACACATATGTGACAGGTCATTAGGTTAAGAACACAGCCTCTAATAAGGTCAAAGGTTGACATTGTAGAGCGATAGATATTGATCTTACTTCTGGTAATCAATAGAAGATAACCGATTTCCTAATTGACATGTGCATTCGCCAACACACACTCAAACAAACAACTACTTTGTGAGCTTTGCGCAGCCGTTATAAAACGAAGATAATACCAAAAGCATAGTTAACTACTGACTAAACGAAGGAAGAAAGAGCCAAGCAAGACTTCTAAGTATATTTAGCCCCTTGTGGATGTGTGCCCATGAGGTTTGTGTGCTTTTTTGTTGTATGAATTGTCTTCATCACTTTTGTCTATCATTTATTTCTTTGTAATGCCATTTGTATTTATATGTTTCATGTCTGTGTTATTGACCAGTTCTCATTGTTACAGCTGCAGTGGTTCAGAAGCATCTATATGCATAAAGCTGTATTATATTGTATTCCCTTTAGCGTAGCTCCATCTAGTGGATGCATAGCGCAACCGCAGCCACTATTGTAGCTTCCATTCTATGCTCTTTATAGCGCAGTGTGCCCTATATATGAAAACAGTTTTAAAATAGGCCATTTGTTGAAGGTGCGCCTTATAACCCGAAACACCTAATAGTGAAGAAAATATGGTATTTCAAAGGGAGATTGGTAACAAAAACACTTGCAATATCTTATATTTTAGTGTTATTAAAAGTGAAGACAATTTACAAAAAACATCAAGTCAAGGCACATGATTTGCCTCGCTTCTACGGGACGGATTTGGCCCTTTGGCCTTGAGTTTGACACCTGTCATCTAGTTCTATCAACAAATTATTCAGTTAAGCCTTTTCTTCATGTTTTTGTACTTGAAAATTGAACTTTATTGTTCAGTTAAACAAATACTAGAGGACAAAATGTTTTAAAACAGTAACATGTCCTGCCAATAATGCATATCTTGTAAGTGTTAAGAGACCAATATAAAAGTCATTTTAGTCATTATATACCAGTATATATTCTTTAATTAATTTGCCAATTAATCAGTAATCAGAATGTTTTTCTGCAAAATAACAATATCTGCATCAGCCTCAGAAAATCCATATTGGTTGGGCCCTACCAACGAGGTTTACTCTGGCCAACCAGTCAGGGGAAAGAAAATACCGGTACAGTAATAGCTACAGTGTATTGCTACAGAAACTGAAATCTGATTGGACAAAAAAGTCCAACATCCATATACGGTATTGGCAGCAGTTCAGCCAAAAGAAACGCTACAAAATGAAGAGCATACACTGTTGGAAATAAATTAATAACATTTTGTGGAGCAAATACGAGAATTTTGGTTCGACCATAGCCGTGCCGACCCACCACTGTATCCAAACTAAAAAAGCGAACACAGCAATTTTCCACCCAAAAATATTCCGTTGTTTAACACATGCCACTGATATCTGCCACCCTGTTTTGTTGAATGCCCTTTTTTCTTGTATTATAAAAGCTGACACTTAAGTTGTTACGCATCAGTCTAATTAGATGATTGCGGGAGGTTGCGTCTCTGTGAAAGTGCACAGTAACAGCACTCATGTCTGTGTAAAAGGCAGTGGCGGATAAAATGCAGCATCTTCATTTACAGTTATGGCATGTCAATTTTGCAAGTATTTGAAGTGGAATGATAATCTGTAACATCACAGTTAGATGTCAACTTGGACTGATACCTTTAGTAATGAGGGTCTGTCTGTCCTCAATAGCAGGCCAATTGGTGAGATCCTGTTGTCCAGAGGGAGGGCGCTCACATGGATATCTGAGAACTCCAGAGACAGTGAACAAGCCTTTGGTGTGTGTCAGGGTGATGGTGAACCAACAGTTGTACTCATGAGGTGTCTGGCCGGGCCAGTTCACATCTACATCCTTGGTGTTGGATCTATGAATGTCACAATCCACAAGATCTGCTTCCACGTCCTTCAAATAGTACCGCAGGTCCAGTTTGGAGACTTGATAGAGAGCACAACAACTGAGTCAAGTGGTGCTTTTCAGTGTGGATTACTGACATGCCAAAAAGGCCCTCACCAATGACAAGGAAAGTGATGGAGCGAGGGTTCACAGGACTGTCTCCTAGTTCACCAAATTGCAGAATGCTGGATCTTTTCAGGAGCTGAACGTCACGCGCACCCTCGTTATTGATTTGCACAATATAGTCACTGAAAAGGCAGGGCAGCCATGTAAGAGGATTAGCATGCTGGATACCTGCAAAAAAAAAAACAAAAAAAAACAGTTTTTAAAGAAAACAGCTTGGTGTGACATCATAGAGTCGTGGCGACAGAGCTTCATGTAGTAGTTTGGTCTGTCACTTTGTCTTATTATGACAATTCAGAGCACGAGTACAATTACTGTGTATTACTATTAGCGTTTTTTTTTCCACAACTGCCATCCATAATTTAATGACATTTTTGCACGCTACTAAGACAACCCTTGACATATTAGTAGGGCACCTCCAAATTACTACAGGTATAGTGAGAAGCTGTAAAGCTGTACAAGTTGATATCTCATCTGCATGCTAGTAGAATTATTACCAGTGAAGCGCTAGAAATATCTACTAGAATGGCATATCCGTAAGACCAAGTAGCACACAGTTGTCACTGGGAACATAAAGTTGTTTTCTTTCCTAGTATGACAAAGCTGCAAGGACAAAGAGTGTACTTGTACGTGGACTTTAAGATGGATATCAAGGATAAATAAATGCTCGAAAGCATGATTTCAACATACATAACAGTTGCAGACGTTCTTGCAGACTTAAAAATTAAAACCTCTTTCTTGAGTAAAAACTCAAAATGTTGACTGACTTACCCACACACAGAAATAAGAATAAAGTTAATAACTTGAGCAAACGCATGATTGTTGAGGTAAGACGTGTCCGACTTGCTTATCGAGCACCAAGTATCGGTTCACTTTCACTTTCAATTTCAAGAAAAAAAAACAACGCCATGCAAAAACTGCAGGGTGGCGTTTTGGACGAACATTTAGCTTGGTTATTGTGCAGTATTCGAAATAAACTGATATACCGGCACGTTTAAAATGAAAATATGCACAGATATCGTAAAATCTACGGAGACGACTGACGCAGTACTGTACTCTCGTTTCGGTTGTCTTCGATGCAGTACTCAAACAAATCGTAAGGTAGCGCTGTAGGCGCGTGGTAGCACATGGACTCGCTTCCTGTCAGGATTCGTTGACCACAGAAAGCAGAAGCTTCTTTTCCGCTGCATGTTTGAAATGTTGACGTTTTTCCCATTTGCGTCTTGTCTGTTATGAGGTACAGGTGCTGTTTATTTGGTGCCTCATAAACTAACTACAACTGTGTTTTGACACATTTTGGCTGCAAATCAAAATTTTGACCCAAGACATTTTCAATATCCTACAAGATCATGGATAAAGGTAAGGTAATGTTTTTTTGCTTTTTTGTTTTTTAAAAACAGACTGGTATACGTAGAAGTAATGATTCACGTCTTTAACTTTTAAGTAAAAATAAAAATTTATACTGTCAAATTTTACCCAAGTACAAAAATAAGCAGCAATTCCTAACTTCGATTATATGTAGGACGCGTTTTGATAAAATGAAGAAAAAACATTCTCTGCCTGAACTGTCTGCTGCAATACTGATTGTATGATACATTGCAACTTGGTCAATGCAAACTACACTTTCTACTTAACATTGTGGAAACTATTAACATTTTATGTTTTGCTTTTGGAGACATATGGAATGACTGGTGTCACACTTTGGTCCCATTTACTGTTTCAATATCGCAAGGACACTGGATCTGCTTTGTTTAGTTTTTAATGCAAATTGTTGCTTGCTGATAAATCTCGCACAACAAAAGCTTATTATTTTCTACCACATGCACTCCGCATATTTATCTTTCACTGGCAAACACTAATCCACTTATTTAATACAGTATATTTGACATCCATATAAATACATTCCTCATTCAAATAAAAATTAGTAGTTCGTGTAAGAATTTGAGGAGTCTTTCATTGGAATAAGGCTGCCCGAATTTCTGTCTTTTTTTCTCCCTTCAGACTGGGCCATTCTTCAGGGATCTTTCCTCCTGGCTGACAAGTTGTGTCTGCCCTCGTCTTTGAGCTCGCTCCAGAAATGTGACTGGAACAAGGTGGGCAATCCAGTCCTGGCCGCCATGAAAGAAATCTGTGACGAGGAGGATGTTGGCGGTCTTCACAAAGACAAGGCTGCCTCCTGGCGGAAACAGTTAGTGTGTGTCGTGTGGTTGAAGTTGTTGAGCAAAGAGCACGGAGAAGACATAGAGGAGGCATGGAAGGAGAGCCCCTTCTTCCCTCGACAGAACTCCCTCCCAGAAGTCAACTACACTGTCCTGATAGAGCTGCTCAAATCCTTGTCCGCTGCAGACACATTTGCTCATTTTCTACTGTGTCTTCCTCTGCGTCAGATGTGTTCTGAACTGGAAAGGTTGTCGGACCATGTGAAGAGCAACCCCGTGGATGAAGATGATGTCCACTTCTTTCTTGAGTTGTGGTGGCAACTGTGGAAAGGAGAGGAGCAGTCTCCAGAGGGACAGGATAGTATTGCAGTGTTGTTTGCTAACCAGGTTGCTCATCTTACTTCTCAGCCTGCTAGTTTGACTCATCATGCTGCCAAAAGGCCGAAACTGGACTCATCGGTGTTACCAAACAACACTGACGTCCTATATGTTCTCCTTAACACTCTCACAGATATGAAAGATTTCATATCCAAACCAGAGCACTGCTTCCAGGCGCTCTCCAATTGTCTTGATGCCCTTTACACGACTTTCCTCGCGGAGCAGTCATTCATCCTTCCAATCAAAGACAAGATGGTCTTCCTGTCCAAAGCCGTGAGCATCAGAGAGAAGAACAGTGGCAAGCTGAGTTCAGAACTTATAGAGGAGGCTCAGCGAGACCTTCGAGCCTCTTACACCCCAACCCAGTTTCAGCCGAGCAGATTGAGCTTTTATGAAGCCTTAAAGAGTGTGTCGGAGCTCACTCAGTTCTGGCAAAACCGCAACTTGCTGAAAGCGTGTAGCAACTCTCCTGTCGGCTATAGTACTTTCAAACTACAGCAAAGTGTCCACAGAATGCTGTCGGCACTCGAAAAAGCCGACATGAGAGGAGAAGAAGAGGCCGAGAAGAGTAAGCTTCGAGGTTTACTGGCATCACTGGCTTTCCCCATGATAGAGACTTCCTCTGAGGTTAGAATGAGAGTTGCCATGACCATCATCAGCCACCAGCTGGAGGACTCTCACCAAGTCACCGTGTTGTATGCCGGTGAGGAGAGCTGGGTGGCCTGTGACGAACAGTGGCTGGACTTCCTCGAAAAGCACCAGACGGCCTTCCACCGGTGTGACGCACTGATCCAACTGACCTCCACCCTCACGAGGCAACTCCACAGCAAGAACTTCTGTGTGAGCCGGAGCAGGAGGCTGCTCAAAGTTGTCACGGCCGCGTTCACTGCGCTGTCCTTGGAGGACAAGAATCAAGCTTTGGTCGCCATTCTGAAATCATCCAGCAAGGGCTTCTTCGGATGCCCGGGCGGCTCCGCTCTGATGGCCAGTTTTGAACAGGAGCTTAACATGGCTTTCAACTGCATTATCCAGGGAGGAGGCGGAGCCTCAGCGGCGGAGGGCAACCTCAGCACAGCCGTGTCTCTCGTCGCCAGAGTGGCCTTTCAGAACCCTGAGGCGACTTTAAGATCCTGCTGCCATTCTGCCGTTTTCAATAAAGGGGCGTTTTCTCTCATGAGTAGGATCCTAAAGCAGTTGCCCGGCCTCAGAGGTTTGACGGAAAGCAAAGAGGAAGGCGAGGGCAGAAGAAATCCGACACGTCTCCTCTGCAGGTGTCTACAGGAAGTAATAAGCACCAGATTGCTCTCAGACAATGAAAAGGAGCAGTTCCTTCAGTTTGCGGCTCTATTGATGGTGCCAGCGGCGACGGGTGAAGGGGAAAGAGAGACCCTTCTGTCGCCTCAGGAGCTTGTCAATACCTTTGTCCTGCCTCACCTAGCACGCTCAGGTGAGTTTTTGACCATTTTCTATATCCACTCAAGAGGCACAGCTTTGGGTGAGTGGCGAGGGCAAACCTCTAAATGGTCGCAAGCCAATAACTGAGCACATGCAGACAAAATGACCATTCACAACTATGAGCAATGGGACAAAAGCAGAATATGCAAAGTTCACAGAGGAAGGCCAGAGCCAGAATTCCAACCCTGAACCTTTTGACCCGTGAAGCAAACGTGCACGGACTTATATATGACCACACTAAAAATTTGCCCCTCACGGCTGAAGCCAAAGAGCAGCCATCTCACGTTGCCACTCTTACTGACAATTGACTTTTTTCCTTGACTTCTCATGTGAACATTTTTTTTGGTCTACTATGATGAGATGATTTAACATTTGTTACACAGACATACAGTATATCATATCATAAATGTCTCGGCTCGCACAAACATCCAAAGAGTCTTTTGACACAACACAACAGAAGCTACCATCATTTAACTAATAATGAACCTGACTATGAATCATCTTGGACTTACATTATGTATGGCTAAGAGCTCCCAAAGTGTCATGGGGGTTTATGGTTGCAGCTTGTATTAAATCAGTCATTTGTTTTCTCTGTGTTTTTCCACTTTCCGATGCTAAACGTCCATCTCAGCATGTGCCCCTTTTATGTTCCCTCCAGGCAATGACTCAGTTGATCTCAAGCTGAGCCTGCAACTTCTCCATGCTGCCTTGTGTGCGGAGAGCCAGGAAGTAGACTCCTCCTCAGTCCACTGGGTGCTGGAATGCTCACCCTTTCCTTTGCTCTTCGTCCTGGCTCAGATGCACGACCAGGCCCTCAGGTTGATCGCAAAGACTTTAGTTTCCAATTGTATCTTGTGACCATCAGAAACCGAAGACCCCCTAAATATAATTCACTTAAAAATGGAACAGAACATAAAAAAAAAAAAA